AGCTCAACCGACAGCGTAATTTTTCTGGATTGTGAGGAACTCAGAATTCAATCGCCACTTAACAGGAATTGGCTTGCTTATTACAAAGTAGCCTTTCCTCCCAAAGGATCTCACTGTAGGATTACGGTAGATCTACAATGTAGGTCCGAATTCACAATTTTGCTTGAAAAGTAAAATCTTAGGCTGATTATGGAAATCATGTCCATATTCCATGGCAAAACCATTTCGTACGACAGAACTAATCCATCCTTTGAGGGTTTTAGTGCCTAGTAGGGACCTTATCATCGTATGTCTACCCTAACTTTACACTAAGGGTTATTCTGCGATGTGGGTATTATTTTTGTAGTGAGCATGTCGAATAACTTACCAGATCACTTTTTACATAAAGCCTTGATCCTGTGATGTATATCTACCGATTATCCCCCATTGTAGCATAATAGCTTCTTGCATTCTAAAAAAATACCTTTTTGTCTTTCGGTCGACCTTTTCAGTCCTCTAAAGTTTAACTTCAATCCTCAATGTTACCGAAATCGTGGATAAGTCAAGCATAGTTATCCTCTTGTAGCGGGAGAATTCTTTTTTCAAACAGTATAAAAATCTTGCCAAAACTTGTTGTTTTCGGAAAATTTTTGGGTTTGAAAAAATAAGTGGCTCGAACTTATCCGAAATTGAAATTCCAAATGCAGGAGTCTTTTTGAGACACAAGGTGTACGGTAGGTAAGGAAGGAAGTGAACATCGCGAATTTGTTTGGAACTTTGCGTGGGGATCAGATGGGCCACACAGAGAACGGTGAATGATGCCCCATCGAAAATGGCTGATCGCCTCGGTAGTTTTTATGAAGTCAAAGCTTTGAAGATGTTCGCATAGACTATTGGCTCGTTTAGTCAGATTGGCTGATTTTTGACTGCTTAAATTTTCAAATCTTTGATTGTGGCGCTTCACACTATCCATCAGGTCCTCCAAGCACCTTCTAGCAAGTAGTAATAAATTCCACGCATAAATTTTGTAGAGATTGAAACAAAGATTACCGGCTCCAAGTGGGTTCAAGGAAGTTGAAGAGGCTTAAAAGAGGTGGGAATTCTCTTAAACTCTGACCGAGATTTTGCAAAAAAATTATCTCTCTGGACAACTAATTTTCGTCTTAGCTTTCGTCCTATCAATTAGGTAATAAGAGATAATTGAAGGTTTTATGCACTAAGACAACCTTACCTTTCACATTGTATCAGTATTCGTATGTACTAGTGAGATTTTGGTGCGTAATCACATATTTGGAGTTTCCCAACTTCGACAAAGGAGATGTAGTTAATGTGGATAAGAGGAGAATTAACAATTTTACAACAACAGTCAACGTTATAGTTGAGACCGAATATACTGTTTGAATATTTCAAATAATTCGATTGTTCGAAGAACGAATATCTGAAAAAGCACTAGTGAAATTTTAAATATTCGAATATTTGAATCGAAAAATCAAATATTCGAACATCGACATTCGAATATTCAATTAGTTCTGGAACGGGATTATAATAATAGATCGTTCGAAAGTCTGCGGAACGTATTTGTTCGTTCGAATATTTACAAAGTCTTCGAATATGATTGAGTATTTTTGAGTATTTATGTTGTAATAAAATATTCGAATGTTTCGATTATTGGCACATTCGAGTATTCGAAAAAAACGCACTATTCTGTTATCCGAGTACTCAAATATTCGGTCACGCCCAATTCTTGATAATTCGAATAATATTCGTGAAGTTTCAACTGCTCATAAAAAGGCAGGAGAAACGATAAGCATGAGTAATGAAGAAAATACATCGACTAATGAAACAAATGAAGAAAACATGGCACGGTAATAGCTTCAAATTTGAGAAAATAAAAGAAATCTCTAAAAAGAGATCAATACGGCCTCGAATCAAAGCGGATAAGAAAGCTCAAAGGCAGCAGGAAATAGTAAATTTCAAGATAAGTTGGTGACCTATTGAACTTGTTTGACGCACTATTTTACCATGATATTTTGAGGTGAAGCGAAAACTCAACTGAAGAAATAGGACTGAACTGGAATGTTTTTTGACACAATTTGAATTAGATGATTGCGGATAGAAAACATTTTAACCTTTGCACTTTTTTGTTGTGACCAATAGATACTAGCATTCTAGCATTTATTAGATACCTGTCGACAAAAGGGTACTGTAAGCAAGGTGCATCCTAGAATGTACATATATCTTCTACAGGGATGCTTTAAAAATTATTTACAGGGGATTTTACAAATTCGTCGTCAAATCTGAAGTCATAAGGTGTGTTTACATAGAAATTATAGTAAACCAGGACAACGGCCACGAAATAAATAGGAAGAGCAATTCGAGAAAATTGATCCACAGCACTGATTGAATTCTGCGCGAGACCAAATGGATCTGTAGGACGACCCTAAAGTAAAGTTAGATGTTTTAACAAATGTAATGTAACATCATCAGCATATTGTCTTACATTATTCATCATCCAGTAGTATAATCGCCAGCCAATGTTGTCTCTGAAATTAAAATGTGATCATTTTTGAATAGAGCACTAATCTTTGTTCAGGACGAACTGCTGGAATTCTTCTATCGTTTGCAATTGTCCTCCTTCACAGGACGTTTCCGATTGTTGTGTCAGACGTTGCTTTTTCACTGAGATATTTCGCGTCCGCTGGTACATTGAATGCCGTCCGCCATCACGGCGAGTCTAAAAACATCACGACTAGAATTACTAAGTACTTACTAAGTAGCCAGGTTTTTCAGATAATTTTTTGTGTGAAAACTTTAGAAAAAGTCGTTCAGCTTCAGATTTCTAGCCTGCTATTGTTAATGAGGAAGAAAACACGCTTAACGCCTATGGAGAGTACTTCAAAAGTTGACAATGACGAGTTACTTAACAAATTTAGGTGAAGCATCCAAAAGTGCTAAGCCAGATATTTGAGGTTACTGAGCTCACTCGCCATATTGGTGATTTTTTTGTTGAAACTTGAAACTTACAATTCCCACACGCGTTTGAGGACTATAAGTAAGGGGCTTTCTGTACGGTCGACGGCTACTGAAATATATCATTATTAAGTTATGTATTAACTGACAAATTCTAGAGAAAACTGTACATTCACTTTTCTTTATTGTTATGTTTATTATTATATATGTCCA